TTGACCACACCTAAGGGGCTGGTTGTAATTTACCCATTTATTAATTAATTAATTAATTAAATTTTGATAGGTTAAGAGTTGACGTATAGGAAACAATGTTATTCCAAGAATATGAGAGCGTGAATTGAATGGTATTAATATATTTTAGGTGAATATACGTTTAATTGTGTGTGACAATGGCAAGAATTATTACATTATAGAAAGTATTGACAAAAAATAAATAATGAATGGACTTAACTAATAACTTGATGATTTTATTTCTGGTTATTGTTGGATACACGCCAAATACAAGGTATGTAACACTTTATAACTACTAGCCAAATATAAATAGGTTTCTCCTTTTAAAATTAATGAAACGATTGAGGGTTTCTTTTTCTTTCTGATTTTACACCATTTTAAGTTTCAAGAAAATAAGATACTTATTTATATATATATAAAATAAAAGAAACACTAATTTGATGTGGTTACATATGAGATACGTATTATTTATTATTATAATATGCTTGCAATCACATATAAATGGAAGCAATCATTTGTGCATGGAAAGATGCAAAGAGCCATTTGTTACAATTTTTTTTAATGTTATATGTTTTTTCTTAATGAATGAATCATCAGCCAATCGTATAGCTAGTAAAATTTTAATTTCGTATAATAGTTTGCAAATTATACAAGAGACGTAAATTACACTAGACTAATTATATGTGACAAGCTCGATCTAGTGACCGTTGCCGAGTGTAATCGAATCTGGTTCAATTAAAACAAACTCACTTGCTCCAACTATTAGGTCATCATTTACTCGAATATATTCTCTTCAATTATGTACAATTTATGTGAGATTATGTGAATTTTTTTTATACTTTTTCTAAGTTACTTTATATAGTGGCTTAATTACACCACAACCATATAAAAAAATAAAAAATAAATTAAAAAAATAAAAACCTAGTTCGTTCCTTCTCATATATGAATATTTAAATGAATAAAGAAATAAAAAATGTAAAGAAACATTTGTGTTAATTTGCAAATTAATGGGGAAGTGGATCACTAAGTTTGGTCAAAATGTAATTAGTGGCAGGCGCGCGAGTGTGTTCACCACTACTGTCACGGCGCGTGAGTCATAGAACTTGTACGTGGACTTGTATTTCCAGAAGAAGAAGCTCGTGCCCTAGGTAACACGCTTTCACCAGTGGAACAACGTTTTCAGTTACACGCGTTTTTGCACATCAATCGACTTTCACAAATTAGATGGTTACGTATTTGCACACGCGTTTTCCGTTTGATGTTTTTCCAATTTTGTTTCACATTTTCGAAAGTTCCATCAACTCATTCTTTTTTAAATTGATTAGCAAAAAAAGAAATTAATTCCAAATTGATTTTAATTGATTTGACCAATTGACGACAGAGTTTAATTCTACAGCCCAACTAAAAAAATTAAAGAGAGTATTTCCTTAATTTTGTGGGCTTTTTTAACTGTATTGTATTCCAAATTTGATTTGGCCCAGTCCATCAAACTACTATAGCCCATTGGTTTTCTTGTTCATTTTTGGGTAAATTACGAAAGCGCCCCTGAACTTTGGCTGAACTACGAAAAACGCCCTCACCGATCCGTAATTACCAAAATTCCCTCAATGTTTGTTTCCTTCTTACACCGAGTCACCGACCCCGTATGGTGTGATTTTTCTCGGAATCTTATTTATTTCACGGAATATTTTCTGTATAATGTGATTTCTCGTAATTCAGCCCAAGATAAATTTAGGAAAAATTGGAGGAATTGAAGGGATGAGGGATTTTGATTTAGAAAAGACTAAAAAGCCCTTCCAAATTGCGTGTGCGTATGTGTGTTCAATTCCGGCCATTTTGGCTTGAAAATGAGGTGAAAAAGGGCACCGTGGTACAACTTACTACATTCGAGTGAGATCGATTGTTTTATTTTTGGAGGTGGTAATTCACAAAAACGAGCAAAGTTTAGTCTGGTTTACTGCAATTTACCCTTTCAATTATTTACTTAAACAACAATTTATTTACTTGTTGGGGGAATTACCACAGCTTTTTTAAACCCTGATAAACTATCATTACTAACTTTCTTGAAATTCAATGATCATTTACTCTCTGGCAAAATTATTACAAGCCCTGATTTTTTGAGACCGTAAGTTCTAACATTACAGGGTTCTCTACAAAGGGTTCTTCAGCCATGCAAGCAGCTTAAACCCTAATTATC